TTTCTCAAGAATACAGCATTCAAGAGGCTAAATGTCAATGATCCAATCATCGGGCCTGCGACGTGCAAACGAGGTTGGGATCTGAGATACACGAACCTCCGAGGAGCATTCACCATATGCCACAAATGGTCTTTAGCGGGACACGATACCGCCATCCCGCGTCTACACGAGCCTTGGCCCCCAGAAGCGAATCCATACCTTGAGGTCTGTCAACCCGCGGAAGTCTCAAGGTGACAGCTGAAGAGGAACCATTAATCAGCACTGCCTCCCAAGCCTCACCAAGCAAAGCCAACCCCGAAAAGGCATTCATCGCCAAGCCGAAATACGAGGCACTTGGGAAGTCGCTTTCCCCCTCGGCTTCAGGAACCAGCGGAGAAATCGACCATCGCAGCCGTCTCTACAAGAGTTACACCGTTTAGCCATCATGTTTTGAGGGATCGCGCCGCCGTCTCATTCCAGATTCGAACCTCTTTGTCCCAGACATTGTCGTAGGTTCGTTTATCTTGATGCATGGAGAGCGCCAATAGCTTCAGCGAATGTCTGTGAAGCTGGCCTTTCGACTAGCCACACAGCAGGACTGCCGTGATGGATCATGAGCATCAAAAGTCCACTGACACCCTCGGACTTGGAGATGGGTGGACTTCATCACATCCTTCACACGTCTACTTCTGCAATATCATTGAAGACGCCGACCACAGTCGACGGGTTCGCCTATCATCTGCGCCTGCTTTCTGCTGTTAATGGTATTCAACAATAAAACATATTCAGGGATGGCGGATAAGCCTCTCATAACGCCGGAGAGCTTCATTACTATCACTCAGCCTGCGGACATGGTCAGTGATGAAACGCGCTTCGCAGTTGCATCTCATACAGCCAAGGCGAGACGTCGGAAAAGGCGCAAGGCGGTCGAATTTGAACCAGGGAGAACCATCCACAAGTTTTTGGCCTGGAAAGCACACAGCGAGCCAACTTCGCGACGCAAGCTACCTAAAGACGCCGAGAATAGAGAGCAGAGTTCTGTTGCGGTCGTGCCATACAAGAGCCCGCAGGATCACCCTGCCAACATTCTCAGCCAGGCGAGGGGAGACCCCTTTGCGCGCTACGCCGTCTCTGATATTCCTGGTCTGGTAGGCGAAGTGGTTGATCATGGTACGTTCCGGTAGTCGTCCTCGGTGATTCAACTCGTGCTTGGGAATGGCTAACCTGGTATACAAGCCGTGAGACTCTTCTGGCCCGGCTTAACTCCCAGCAAAGCACCAAACGTGGTGAATCCGGTTAACGACGCCTATATGGAGTCGATCAGGAGCTCTCCGCTTGCATTCTATGCATATATGGTTGCATCTGCCGAAAACTATGAACTCCTGAGCGGGCCCAATATGAAGACCAAGGCGTTCACCAAGCTCTGCCTCGCTTACCGCGTCGAGATGATCAAACTCGTCAATCAAGAAATTGAGGAGATGACTGGCCCACCCTCTGACGAGCTGCTTGGAGCCATCATCGTGCTTGCTGGCAATTCGGCCGGGTTCATCAACCAGGCGAGAGGGTCGTTTCTTAAAGTGGCGAAACCATCGCGCTTCCATTCACCTCTCAGGACGGCACAGTTTCTGCACGTATACAGCACCAATCCATTCCCCAGTGCGCACTCGGAAGCGTTGGTCCGGCTGGTGATCATGAAAGGCGGATGCTCCCAGATCCAATCGGTCGGGGTTGCCAGCGTGGTTGCTCTGTCAGTTTTCCTTGCGGTCAAGTGTTTGGAAGAGTGCTAATCCTCACGCAGATGCGATTTGGTCATTGCCTCACAGACCAATTCCAGACTCTATGTCCTTCCTATGAGCCCGCCCACCTTTGCGGCCGTGCAAGACCTGTCTCACTTATTGACAAAGTCAGGGATCAAGTGGGATTCTCCATATGCGGTCTGGAGTCAACTACCCCTTCGTCCGTCTGTGAGACCAGAGCTTCTTCAAACTGTTCGGGCAATGCTGGCCGCCAATACTGCACTCGACTGTTATCTGAGCAAGTATGGACCGTCCATGGTCTTTGCCGATATTGTCAACGCCCGCAACGACGCTCAATATCTCCTGCTGAGCCTCTTACCCACCACCGAAGTTGACGATGAGACGCATTCTATTTCCGAGACGTTCTCGGACCACATTTACGACATCGCCCGCATCGCCCTACGCATATATAGTAACCTGATCCTCTTTCCGATGAACCCCAGCGGCGGCACGAGCCGAATTCTCGCGGGGGCACTGCGCGAGGCAATCATGGAGAGCGAGAGGGCGAACCCATGGCAACTCTTCCCGGACACGTGTAAGCGCATGATGCTCTGGGCACTCGTGCTGGGCGGGATCCAAGTCGACGACGGCGTCACCGACGCAAACGCCGAGAGGACGTGGTTCGTGGAGCAACTCGCCGACGTCATGTCGTTCATTGACGTTCTCTCCTGGCACCAAGTCGAAGAGTGTTTGGCGGCGTTTATGTGGTTGGATATTATCCTCAACCCGACCGCCGTGGAGCTTTGGGCTGATGCGAGAAGGACAAGAGATCAGGACTTGGAAGCCCTGGAGATGGAAGGTCTGGCTCTGCGGCCGCGGGAGGGTTTGTGATTTTGTTGAGACTGACGAGTATCAAACAGACAAAAAGGAGCACGGAGTTCACCTTCCGAAAGAGGTTGGAATTGAGACTTTACTTGTTAGCCGGTTTGATTATGGCACAGATGGTTATGGTCACTGGACTGGGATCGGGGTCGGGGTCGGGTCATTGAGTGTTTGATGTTGAGTCGCCGTTAATCTCTGTTGATCTGTCTGGATACCTAAGGTATTGGGGTATCTAGGTATCACTTTCAAGCTATCGTACCTAGTGTTTGTGGGACATGGTATTCTCTTGTCTCTCGTCCCTCGTCCCTCGTCCCTCGTCTCTCTACGATTTTACATGTCCCGAGTACAGAGTAGTAGCCAGTACTAAATCACCGATATTTCATTACCTCTCCCAACACCGCCGAGGCGAGGAACCCACGTCTCTTGAGCTTTGAGCTTTGAGCTTTGACGCTTGAATACTTGGCTGCATCTACTCCGTAGTGGCATCGTGCAGATCCGGACTCGTCAAAGCCTGACTCTCTCTCTCTCTCTCTACATAGATCCCACCCACCCACCCACCTTTCCTCCACCTTCTTTCCTATCCTATCCTTTCCTGTCCTGTCCTGTCCTGTCCTGTCCTTTCCATTCCACCCCCACAATCTTGGAAACGCAAATGGCACGATATATACCCCCGTACCTTGAACCGAGTACCCGAGAATTCGGTTCGGTACGCCCGAGCCAGGTGACAAAACAAGTGGCACAGCGAAGTAATGACCAAAATACTCTGAGGTTATTCTCTCCTTTACTCGAAATTTTAAGTGTAAAACTCTGGATTTTTTCTCCTTGACACAATAACGAGTATATAAGCTATATAATGATACTAATATTAAACAATAATTCCTAATAAATGGTGGTAGAAAAGCATCTCAGGATTCTATTCGGGTAGTATAGTACGGTCTGACTAGGTATTTAGCACAGGATGCTGTGCCCCTTATTTTGTCAACAGGCTCGCGCCCTTCTGTCTGCTTTCTCCAAACCCCCCCAGTCCCCCAACGACGATCTCCTGCCCGACGGTCTACGGTGATAGATCTATTTCCGCCGTGGATCAATTGACCAAACGTTAGTAACCTTACGTACCGACTTGCTGACTTACCCGGTTGACTAACTAACGTGCTACATATCGAGTAAATTAAGTGTCTTGGTGACTGGTGACTGACTCGGCGAGTCGGGTAGAGAGAGTGTAAATAGATGATGGACTCCAACTCCAGTGGCCCACACCCGCCCCCAAAGGGCCATAATCCAGTATATTGCCGAGGGTACGTAGGAAGGTCGATAGGTTGATAGCTAGGTAGGTATGTATGTACATATCAGAAACAGACGATATCGGATTATATTATCAGACTATATTGCGGGGCTACCTACCTACCTACCTGTATCGAGTACGCCACCACCTCGCCGTCCGTGGGGACAGAATACGGGGGTATATACAATAACATTATTACGTCTTACATAATGCATATGATATAATATATACGGTTCTCAGTCAGTCAGTCACCTCTTCTCCTCCCTTGCAAAGCAAGTACGGCTCTCAGGCAAGCACGACAAGCAAGCAAGCAAAGCTTCCTCGTACATGTACCACAAGTCGTGCTTAGGTCGGGTCTTGGTCGCTTGGTGACTTGGTCTCTTGGCAGGTGGCACGTTCTCTTCGGCATATGCACTCTTCTCCTCCCTTTTTTTTCTCGAGGAAGAGATAAATCAAAAGCGAGGGTTGGCTGGCACTCTCACTTGTGAAGCTCCTCAAGAAGGGGGGCCCCCCCAAAAGCCAAGAATGGGGCGTCAAGGCGTCCACCTCCAAGCAGAGTCTTAGACACTCGTTAGAGCCTCTTGGAACTTCTTGTCCATGCAGGGCTTTTACTCGTCTGGCTCAAGGGTGGTCATCTGGAGTTATTTATCCTTGGGTTTCTTGACCCTAGTTACCCCAGTTGTCCCCGATGTCCCCCAGTGTCACCACCCCGGATCTGTATATTGACCCACGTCCACGTCCACAAAGACAAAAAGAGCCCCATCTCTGCGGGGAGGGAGATTATGAGCCATTACCACGGTCATGGTCATACTTCGAGTACCTAGGCAACTAGGGTGCCGTCCACATTTGGAGACAAGGTAGTTATGGCCCCGTCGCGTCGGTATAGTGGGCGCCGATGCTGGTATAGTGGATGTGTGCGTCTTCAAAAATCCCTTGCCTCGCCCACTTTGTTGCGCACTGTAGTGGAGGGGAAAAAAAAGGGAAAAGGGATCTGTCTGTTTGTAACAAAAACAGGCAAGAGAAAGATCCGCGAGTACTGCGTACTATACCTTGCACACTGCACACTGCGCGTTCTGGCCTTTTCTTCCTCTTGAAGATCTATCCCCCCTAAACGATCAGCCATGGGTATCAGCAAAGAGAGGGTTACGCCCATCAAGGCGAACATGAAATGTCTGTTGTTCTGCCTTGCCGTCTCAATGGCAAATTGTCAGTATGGCTTCGACACGGCCACTGTCGGGGGTTTCCAGGCCATGATTGGCGTAAGTGTCCCATCACTCCTGTCCATCTGGGATACAGCTCGGTCCCCGTACTGACACGCTGGTGGCAGTTCCTCGAAATCTTTGGATATCGTGACCCCGATTCCCCGACCGGCTGGGGTATTGACACGCAGACACAGCAGCTGATGACCAGTCTGATCAACGTGGGAACCATCGCCGGTGTCTTTGTCACGGCCCCTTTTGCCCGCTACTTTGGTCGTCGGGAGGGCATCTGGGTGGCCTCGATCATCAACTTCGTGGCCGCGGGTGTCCAGGTCGGCACGACTTCCATCGGCGGGCTCTACGCTGGCAGAGCTCTCATCGGGTTGGCCAACGGATACTTCATCACCTTTGCCAACGTCTGGGTTGCCGAGGTAGCCCCAGCCCATCTTCGTGGCCTGCTGGTCTCTTTCTTCGGAGTCTGGGTCAACATCGGAAGTGTGCTGGGCGCTGTGGCCAACAACTACTCGAAACAGCATGTGAATAAGCTGTGCTACCAGATCCCGTTGGCGACCATGTTTGCAGTGCCGTTTCTTCTGAGCATCTTCATGTTCTTCATCCCAGAGTCTCCAAGGTACCAAAACCCAATAGTCGTTGAACTGTGACAAAGGATATAGCTGAGTTTTCTTACCTCTAGATGGCTGCTCGTGCACAACAAACCCGAGCAGGCGAGACGGGCTCTCGAGAAACTTCGAGGCAGTTCTCTAGCGCCCGAGTTCCTGAACGAAGAGTATGTCGAGATGGTCCGGGGTATTGAGGAGGAAAAGGAACTGGCCTCTTCGGCTTCTTACTTTGACATCTTCAAGGGCACCGACTTGAGGCGGACCATCATCTGCTGGGGCACCATCATGTCGCACTCGGCCGCCGGGCTCTGGCTCATCATCGGCTATGGCACCTTCTTCTTCCAGATCGCCGGCGTGGACAAGCCGTTCGAGGCCTCGATCATCTCGACTTGCGGTAGCTTCGCCGGTGTGCTCGTGGGTCTCTACTTCACCACAAAGGTCATTGGGCGTCGCACCTCGATGCTCTTCGGCTCGGCCATGGCTTCGCTCTGCATGCTGGCTATCGGCGTCGCGTATGTCACGGGTGGCACGTCGAAGCCCGCTGGGTCGGCCATCGTTGCCTTCATGGTCCTCTATGGATTCTTCTACAATGGCTTCTCCGGCACGCTCAGCTGGCCCATCGCCACCGAGGTCTGCAGCTCACGTCTCCGTGTCCTCACCATTGGCCTGTGCACGGGCATCAATTACTTCTTCAACTGTGAGTGTCTTTGTTATCTGTCCATTATCAGCGTCATGTTGAATGTGCGGTGTGTGAGTGCTGATCATTCATGCCTTCCTGGCAGGGCTCACGTCTTATACCGCCCCTTACTTCATCAATCCGACCCAATTGAACTGGGGCGGCAAGTATGCATTTATATGGGCAGGGTCGAATTTTTGTGTCTTCCGTAAGTTGAGCCTGTCCCGGTCCACTTCACATATGTTTTGAATCAATCACAAAGGAAACTTTGACCAATCCCCTACCTCGAGATTTGATCACAATCCGCGGAGTCAAATACGAAAGAGTATGCACCGATCACTGACCGTCATCTCGCTTTTGTGTCGTCTAGTCTTCTTCTTCTTCCTGCTCCCCGAAATGAAAGACCGCTCTCTCGAAGAGTTGGACGAGCTCTTCCAGAACCGCGTCTCTGTCCGCGACTTCAAGAAGTACCAGTGCGTGAGCTCTGAGAGGGCACGGGAGGTCGCACTGAAGGAGACTGGCGGTGATGGGACGAAGACGGATGTTGTCGTCGAGACGGTTGAGGATGCTACTGCTGTGGCGGCGTCGAAAGTCTGACAGATGGAGAAATTTGCCAGAGAGGGGATGACATATAGGGTCGACTGCAGCGGTTCGCGGGAACTTGTCGAAGGTGGGATACCAATGCTGGGCATCATCGATGCTGTGTATTGTTCTGCTTGGTGTAGAAAGCTTGTCCATCCTAACAGGGCTCCTCTAATTGTGTCTGTGCCTGTGCCTGGTGAGTTTGGGGGCGTAGATTGCTGACTAATTAGTGCGGTGACGAGCTTTGGGGTCAATGATGGCGGGGTAAAACACATGCTGAATCGCAGTCTATCCTCGTATTCTGGGAGCCTTGTTTATGTCACTTACTAGGATTAGTGATTCTCGGAAACAACCACTGGTGCCGCCAGTTCGTCGATTTGTAACCCGCGAGCACATCATTGCGGGGCTCGACGATCTTGGAGAACAGTCTTAAAGGTCTCCCCTGAAGCTCGATTGACACGAAAACGTGACTGCATTACTCTTTGTTTGACGATCTCACTCTCTTCGGTCGCCGACTCAAGACTCAATTGAAGTGCCTTGTGCCCGCTACCCTTCCACTTGGGCGTCTCTTCCCGACGTGTATGACAACAGCTGCGAGACAATCTGCTCACAATAGACTTCGCATCGAAGTTCAAAGGTTGACTTCTCCCACGATGGCATCTCAAAAAGCATGGGCTGTGGTTGCCGGTGTTGGCCCTGGCACGTAAGTCTCGACCCCGGAATCCATCAGGAAGCTCACTCAAGTCCCATACTAACCCCGGGACAGAGGTGCCTCTGTCGCTCGTCGCTTCGCACAGCATTATTCCGTCGCCCTCCTCGCTCGAAACCGGGCAAACTTTGAGCCTGTCGTGGACGAGATCAATGCCGCCGGCGGCAAGGCCATTGGCATCAGCACCGATACCTCCGACGGCAAAAGTGTCAAGGCTGCCTTTGAGCAGTTGCAGAAAGAGATAGGAAGTGCATCGATCGCAGCCGCAATCTACAATGTTGGAGGCAGATTTGTGAGGAAGCCGTTCCTGGAGCTGACGGACGAAGAGTTTGAGAGTGGATGGGAAGCCAACGGGTAAGTAAAAGACGGGGGACACTTGATACCTTGGGAAAAGGGGAAAGATTTGCTAATGTGACTTATCATCTGATCAGTCGAGGAGCGTTCCACTTCTCTCAGGCCATCCTCCCTCTCCTTCTCAAAAACACAAACGCAGAGTACCCACCTACCCTCATTTTCACATCTGCCACAGCAGCCATGAAAGGCTCCGCTCTGTGTGCGTCCTTTGCCACTGGCAAATTTGCGATGAGAGCACTGGCCCAGTCTCTGGCAAGAGAGTTTGGGCCCAAGGGCGTGCATGTAGTTCACGCAATCATTGATGGGGTGATTGATATCGAGCGGACGAAGGAGTGGAAGTTCGACCACCCCGAGGCTAAGATCAAGCCAGAGGCCATTGCCGACTCATATTGGTATCTGCATACCCAACCCAGGACTTGCTTCACCAATGAAATCGACATAAGGCCTGCCGTTGAGAAATGGTGAAGGCAACTGTGCACAACTCGGGCCGGGTGGTATTTCGAGTCTGGCTATCTGCTCTCCGGTGGACATGAAGCCCACCTACTGGACCCTCTATGGGGAATTATTTTTTTCTTTGCTTGAGCGGACGGAATTTCGCCCGCTCTCTGCATCCCGAGCTCCTTTTGCTTTTTCAATTTAAAAAAGATTCCACAGACTCGCTCTCTTCGTCCTCCGAGAAGTGTCGGTTCCGAGGGACAGGACAAGTACGTTTCGAGTCCACCGGAGGGGTAGCAACCAGATTCCCTGTAGTGACTGAGGTGGCAATGAAAAATTTATTTATATCTGCCCTAGACTAACAGAACGGACAACATCATTGGCCCTTAGTTGTATAAATTGTGTAGTATGGCTGTTCTTTTCCACAGGGGGTGTGTCGTATTCTCACTACCGATACGCCCAAGCTCATTGTGTGTGTGTGGGTGTGTATGTGTGTGGCATCATCTCCGATCAGGCTAAACCTTTGCAATGCTTCGCTCAGCATTTCCTATAGTCGGGTTTAGCCACCGCTACTCGACATCCAGGAGAATGCAGGGGGCACTCGGAACTTCGGCCAGCGTCCAAGGGCTATACCGGACGGACTCGACCGGAGAGGAGCCGTATGTGGCAGTCGAAGTCCCCTTGCTGGAACTTTCAGACGACTGTGTCTCGGGCCAATTCAAGACGACGATGCATCACCATATTTGAAGGGAGTGGAGTCGAACGGGATGCCGGACCAAATGATACGCAATCAACTCATCTTCCCCTCCACATGGAGACCCCAGCGATCCACGGGGGGGGGGTTCGCATCGAGTGACATTGTTGCAGTCGCATACTCGCTGTTCGCTTTATCTCCGCCTCCGCTCATTCCCATTCCCCCGCCGGTGCCTCGTTCGATTCTGAAGGCTGACGTTGACAGCGACGATGACGCACCCATCAATCTCTTCCGCCGAGGCTGTTTTGTGCGCCACCAGCGCTGGATCTGTTAGGCACCACGAATCATTCAACACCATTGCCGAACAATACCCAACACTCACTTCCACCCGGGCTCCGGGCACCTGAGTCGACCTCTCGCTACCTTCCTCATCGCATCCTAGCCTCGCAGCATTTACCCCTGCCCAAACATGTCCTACCCCATCAGGGAAGGCGACTCGCCGATCTGGAATGGTGGCGTGCAGGCGAAGCTTGTCTCTGGTCAAGCAATGTCCCCTTGTCTGGCGGGAAATCTCTCGTGACAGGTCGAAGAGCTTGCATTGCTTCATCATGACGGCCCAGTGCCCTGTTCTGGTCGGCACGCGTTGCTGATACCGCAACTACCGGCTCCCCTCGTTGCGGTCGCACGCCTCGTCAGTGAATGACCCTCCTGCTCTCTAATCCACAAGTGGATTCGGTTTTCACCCGAGCAGTTCTTGATGCTCGGATTGCGCACCAACGGTAGGTCCGGAAAGCATACTGGTTATGAATCAACGAGGTGGAAACGAAGAACGTGGCATCGAGTGTGCTCGTGGAAGCAGGTCGCGGTCTACTTCTACTGTCACGTCCCCCAGGTTTTGAGAGATTTTAATTTTCCTGATTACTCTTCCATCCCCTCAATTCCCCAGATCGTCCTGCCCCCCAGACTGTGTCAGAGGCAGCATCCCCAGGTTCTTGAATATTAATCACAGTCGGCCCGCAAGCGAAGACGTACAGCAGCCATGGCCAGCAACCATCCGGACCCGCTGGTTCGACAGCATACGCACGACATCGAACTCGGTGTCTCCGATGTGCTCCAGCGCCACATCACTCGCCATGTGGTTGCGCCAAAGGCGGTGTCCCAGCGGAGGCTCAATTTTGAGCACAAACGACCGCGGATTCTGCGAGAAATGATGGCGGAAGCGTGAGTAGTCCCAACCTAGTGCTCGATCGTTTCCCCCAGATATCTTTGACTGGCCGATCTACCCAATTCCGAGTTCGATGTGCTGGGGCTAATAACAGTAATACTAGCACCGGCGTGTTCTTCTACGTGTTCCCTGGTATCGCCTCCGTGGCCTCATTCACCCTTGCTACCACCAATGGCGTCGGGGCGGCCGTGGGAATCCCGGTCTTTGGGACTCTTTTCCAGATTGGTTGTGCATTCGCCTTGGGCATCGCGTTTGCCATCATTACCTGTGCACCCACTAGCGGTGGGCACTTCAACCCGGCTATCACCATTTGTTTCGCTATTTGGCAAGGTAAGTCGAGCTGTCTTTCTCCTTGGTTGCGACCCTCAAGGTGAATTTTGGAGGAGAGTATACTTTCAGGGAGCTAACAACTGTCCAACCATTAGGCTTCCCATGGAAGAAAGTCCCCCACTACATCTTCTCCCAGATCTTTGGCGCGTTCATAGCCGGTCTGTTCCTCATGGCGTGCTACTGGCCGCAGATCCAAGCAGCCAAAGCCATCGATCTCAAAGAGCACGGAACTGCGGTCTACAATGGCGGAGTGGCCAGCATATTCTGCACGTTCCCCAACCCGGACCAGCACAACCAGGGGTACCTGTTCTTCCAGGAATTCTTTGTCGACAGCTACATCGGCATCCTGATCTGGGCGTGTCTCGACCCGGCCAACCCGTTCGTCAGCCCGTCGTCCGCGCCGTTCACCATCGGCCTGGTCTACGCGACCATGGTCTGGGGCTTCGCGGGGAACAGCATCTCGACCAACCTGGCCAGGGACCTGGGGACGCGCATCGTCGCGGCCATCTTCTTCGGCGGCGAGGCCTTTAGCTTCGACAACGGCTACTCGTGGATCTCCATCCTGGTCAACATCCCCGCCACCATCTTCGCCACGGGATACTACGAGTTCCTCATGCGCGACAGTCTGCAGAAGATCCAGAAGGGCCACGCTGAGCACGAGGATGGCGAGGAGGGCCTCCACAGGTATCTTTCCAAGGTTACCGGGATGGATATGCCGGCACCGACGACCGAGCGTGGGACGATGAATGCTGCGAATGGTATCATTGAGAAGCAGTTTTGAGGAATACAACACAAGCGCAAACACCTACGCGCACACGGGGAGGCAGGTCCGTAGATGCCTCTCAGTCATCTAGACCCGGAGGATGTCCCACGACGAACGGGTGTCATTGTCAGTTTGCCAGTTTAGCCTCTGTCGGTGTATTCGGTATTTGTACTGAACGACGAAAAGACTCTTGCATGGTGTTTGCGACTGGGGGTATACAGAACTTACAGTATCTTGGTAGGTAGGGATTTACACAGCGCCAAAAGAATTCAGGTATTGAAATATTCATAATTGTCCTATGTTTATGGAATGTATGCACGTGTGCGACACTTGTAACCTCGCTGAACGCTTCGTAGTATATATGGGTAGGTAGGCAAGTAGCGTTGCTCAGTGGCACGTAATAGTTGTGATTTGTGTGGTTGAGGCCCACAATGCCTTGAAGATTTTGTATGACTGGTGCCAAGAGGTATGAGGTAATAGGTGGTATCCTTTTAGGCGTGGTACTATATGGTGGTGCAGAGTCTCGGCCTCCAGATACTCGTAGTCGCAGCCCTCGACCTACATACCATCCATCCATCCAGGATCCAGCGTCGAATGTCAAGTGTCGAGTGTCGAGTGGCCACCAGTCACCGGTCACCGATACGGTGAGATACGCTCTCCCAATCACCTAGGTACTAGGTATCTGTAAGTAGTATGCTCTTGACTGGGTATCCTACTTGCGGCTCAAGCACGAACAGTTTCGGCATCTTTCTCTTCTCGGTCTGGTTTTAACACGGCCACTACATGTAGACTGTACATAGCTCCTGCACGGAAGGGACACCACAAGGCGAGCACGAATCTCACGGGTGGATCAAGGGAGATAGTTCTACATCATGAGATGAAAGAGGTAAGTCGGGTAGAACAGAACAGGGCACGATCTCAAAAACAAACAAAAGAGCAATGAATTTGTCCCTCGCCATCAAATCCTGCAACTCATTGGAATCGTGTCCTTGTAGACAGTCTGCCGGCGAGCGTTTCCCCCACATCCACTTTTTGTGAATAACAATGGGGGAAAAGGGGTTCAATTTGCGCCAGCCGTATACCTTGGGTAACCACGGGAAGATCGGTAGACAAGGAGATAATACTGGCAAAAACAACAGACAAATAGAATGTTGCAGAAGATTTCTTTCGGGGCAACCACCCGGGCCGCAGATGTGGGAGAGGGGAGAGAGGGAAGGGAAAGGGAAAGGGAAGAAAGGAGCGGAAGAACATGCGTTTCGTGAAGCTCGTTGAGGCGGGTTGACTTCATCCCTAGAAGTGCGAGGGAGGCATGTAGACGAATAGATCGCAAGGGGTATGACTGCCCGCACACTCTTTCCTTTACACATGGTTCTCGTTTTTGTCATTTTTTCTTTTTCCATTCAAGCCACGAATGAGACGTCCAGTCTGCAGGTAATGTGTGACGCCTTTGTCTCTATCAACTCATTGTCGTTGATAACGATCCTCATGGAAACCGTCGAGGAATGTTTCGAGTCCGATTGAATTGTTTTTTCCCCAGCCTCAAACCCCGTGTACATTGGGGACAAGGGCCAAGTTTCGCAAGTTCCGCATGCCCTACGCAACGCTCCAGTTCTTTTCTCCTCTACTCCTTGGACTTCACGGCCTCTCTGCCCTTGCCAATCCTTTCCAGGATTTTTTCCCGGTCCTTGTCGAGCTTGAGCTTCGTCACAACAACCTTGCTGGGATGTACGCCGATCGGGACGGATTGGCCGTTTGACTTCTCTCGGGACACGCGTTCGATGTGGATGAGGTATTTGAGTCGGTAGACCGAGGTGACTTTGCCCTCACGGCCCTTGTTGGAGCCACGCACGATGGTGACTTCGTCGTCCTTGCGGATCGGGATGCTGCGGACCTGTGTATTTCATTAGGATCATGGGTGGACGTCGGCCAGAGGCCACACAGATCACGTTGTGTGCGGGACCATGGGAGCAGTTCGTACATTGTGCTTTTCTCTTAGTTCCTTGCTCAGGGGAGCGCTCATGATCGTTCGTCGCACGCTGGAAGGGGCGCCGAAGTGAAGTTTCCGAGACTTGCGCCTCGACGAGGCAAGACCTGCAGGGAGCCAAGTATTAATTTCGGTTTTCATCTTGGGAGAAATACCACCAGAGGGAGAGGGCGTTCATACCATGGTTCGTCTTCGTCATGGTTGGGCGATTGTTGGCGTGGAAAAGGAATGTCGAACAACAGGCGAGATCTGAAGTCTCAATATGCCGTTGCGAATTTTTGGGGATTTTGCGGTGGTGCGAAACTTGTCGGGTGCCAAGAAATTGATTCGGGCGGATCATACGGTGTGGCTGCGCAGATTCTACAGACCGCGCTTCCGCGGTACTACGGAGGGAGTCTCGTATTCGAGTCCACCCTGTGGCCCACCTGCGCGTCAGTGGGAAGAGCGTACATATCATGCCTCGCACTTCCCGCACACGAATAGTTGCTCTGCCTCACCCCTCTGGATCGCAAGCACTTTAAAAATTAAATCGCATCGGAATCGAGGGCGCTTACCCTAGGAACACGCTCCCCCCTAACAAATAAATTCGACTCCTCTTGTCCCGCGATTCTCGCGAGGACGTGCCAGCACGGTTGGGAGATGCATCTCGGCAAGACGCAACATTTTAGAACAAGTGGTGGGCAGCAAGTCGCTATGAACGACTAGCAGTGGAGGCTCTGTGATGTCCTATCCTTTGCTCACAGTCTACGGAGCCCCCTATGAATCGCAAGAAGAGAACATGAACAAGTCCTATAACCCTGGAAGACATACATCTGCGAACAATCGCTATGCCACGCAAGCGCCCTATTCGGAGGATGTCCGACAACAACACTATGACTCCTCTGCCTACGGGTGGACAGGTCAACCGCAGCAGGACCACCCAGGTGGCACGGGTCAACGGACAACATACAATGGCAATGGGTGGGATACTGGGAGGACACAAATCCCCTCTCGTGATGATCGCACCCAGCATGCCAACTATGCGATTCATACCACACCAGGCGGTGGAGGCGATGGTGGACGCAGTTATTTCATCTCCCCATCCTCAAATATCGCAGGACAGAGCAATTCAGGTTTGAACAACCCGGCGTACGCGTCGGGATTAGGCGATGCAGTTTTACAGCAATACGGGCATCACCAGCAGCACTCAACTACAGCCTCAACTTCAGTTCAACGTTCAACTGCGGTGAACTGGGTGCGGTCCCCGATCACTACGCACAACACCTCACGGCACGATAGCAACCCACCCTCCAATTATGGATTCTGGACTGGCCCTTCCTCTCACAATCAACCGAATTCGCTGTCAGCCTCAGCAACGGCTCTGACTGGGAATGTCGGCGCCCGCTTTCAACAGGCATCCGCCGCAATGAGGGGACATGCGTCAGCTTCGCCAGTAACGGAAGCGTCTGCTTCGGTACAACAGTCGGCTTCACAAAGATCGGCCTCACCGTTCTATCAACCTCAAATCATCACGGCGCAAGGACACGGACATCCGCCCTCCACCACACCTCAGACGAACTATAGGGCTACTAACTCAGCAGCACCTAATACTCAGGAAAAAGCCAGGCAGATTGCCAACACTGGTCAGCATAGACGGCGCCCCAGCCTGGAGGCAGCGCAACGGCACGCGCAACCTCAAGCTCAGTCAGTGAGTAGCATCTCAAACCTCGTTACGCACTCAGCTGAGGAGCCTGCCCGACTTCAAAACACAGCGACACTTGAACCGCAGTCAATGCCGAGTTACATCGACCCTACCCAGGTGTTCAACCCCTTCCACAAAGAACACCAAAGGAGGCGCCAGCAAGTCGCTGCTCGAGAAGAAGCCGAGGCAAAGCGAAAGGCAGAACAAGAAGCTGCCGCAAAAATGAAAGCCGAAGCAGAGGCTATCGCAAAAAAGAAAGCTGAAGAAGCTTTGGCCGCAGCGAAGAATCAAGAGCAAGTGGCTCTTACTGCAGCTGCAGCTGCTCCTGCGACTGGTGCAGCGGAGAAAAAGACTAAGCAGACCCAAAAAGCTCCTCGCCCTTCGCAGGAGCCTCTCTCTGAGAATGAGCCTCAGCATGACAAGCACTCAAGTCCTAGAGACGACGAGGCAGACATGGCAAGTGGACTTCGGGCCATGATGGAAAAGATGCAAGAGTTTCGGAACAGAGATCCCAACCTTTTCCAAAAGCTGTGGGACGACATGCGAAAGACATCCTCAGTCCCGTCGGTAGCAATCCCGTCGCCTTCGCCCTCTCTCCAGACGAGTACTAATGCGGCTCCTCCAAACGGCCAAGATCGTCAGCAACCCTTAACGAATACAGTCGCTTCTGCTCCACTTACATTACCAAAGGCACCTTTCCAACGACCTACACCGATCCCCACTACGGAGACTGCCAGATCAAAGTCAGACGCTCTTTCTGGTTTCTCGCAGGGACCCAGGCTCAACGGATATAGGGTCGTCGTTGAAAACAATCCCGAAGGATTGCCTGACTTGGGTAGTTTCCCTGCAGAACGACGGATCAGAAGTACATACAATGGCAAGCATTCGTCGGAGACAGATGCTACGGGACAGACCACCACAAAACCGAAAACAGGCCCGGCAGCGACAAACGCGCTCCCAAATGGAGTCTTCGCTCCTACTGCGCAACAAACTTCGAACCCCACTTCAACCCCCAAAGTCCCGGCAATCGAGAAGACAGCACCACTGACACAAGGTCTCCCTCCTCGTAAGCCAAGTGGTGAGACTATGTGGCCAGAAAGTAAACGGAATGTTCTTGCAGCCGTTGCTGTCAAGTTCTTGAAGGCCAGCCCAGAGAATGAGAAGGTCGAAATCAGCCCCGAAGACATTCATGGCATGCTTGAGCAGAACCCCAGCTATATCGATTTGTGTCTGATGCTCGAGAACAAGGGCCTCAAGTTTCATAGGGGTCAGTTTGCGCGACAACTCCTCAACGAAATACCACAGCTGAGAGGCCCTTCGAAGACTCCGGTTGTTGCAGCTCCTGCCATACCGGTTCCAGGACCGGTACCAGCTCCCGAAATTTCTGTCGCGCCACGTCTACCAGCTACTGTGCATCCAGAGCCACTGCTGGTGAATGCTTCTACCCTTGCTCCTTCTCCAAACTTCAGCAAAGGTTTTCCGAGACCAAAGCCTCCTGCCTTCCCCGGCCCGCACCCTCAACCACGATACCCTCAAATGCAACGTGCAAGACCCGCTAAACCCCTCCATCAAGCTCGTCCCGAGCCCGCACCTGGTTCGAAGGAAGCAATGGCGCGAAAACGTGATTTCTCCGAGGTGGTCGACCTAACAGCATTGAGCGACAATGAAGACTACGTGATGTCCAGGAAACAAGCCCGGATTGAGAGCCCTCCCCTGGAACCGAAAGATCTATTTCAGCAGTATCAGAATCAACCATCAACTACAAATGCGTCTTCGCTTGCAGTCCCCTTCCGGGCCCCCGGCTACCCAGAGCCTCTCCGGTTCAATCCCAGCCTCCCTCAACACCAACTTGGTCACAATCCGCCTCCTACTCATCCCTCACCTCAACTCGCTCCACCATCGGTTGTGCCGCCACCTGCGCAGCACTCACACCGGTCGATCAGACTACTTGCCAAGCCTATCGATAAGAAGGAAGCTTTGCGGAAAACCTATTACGATGCGAGGACGATAGCTAGGGATATTTTGATCGCTGCCGGAAGGCATCCGACTGAGCGCCCACTCAATGCGCACATGGCAGGTCTGCTTGGGAAATACGTGGAAATGGATTCTGATCTCAGCACCTTTGACTGGAACGCGATCGATCCGGGAGGACCCCCGGTACCTCAAGTTCCTTACGCCGATGTCCCGACTGAGCCTCCACGATTCCGTCTGGGGGAAGCAGGAATTCGACGTTCAAGGGCTCATGTTCCTCCGCCGTCTGCGGCGGGTACTGCACCGAGACACGTATTACCAGATACGGCAAAGCGCAAAATGACCCCGCCCGCGTCCGCACCTGCGCCCACTACCGCGCCCACGACCGCGACCGACAAGGCCAAAGACAAAGTCGTGCCTCCTGTCGCACAAGTCCAGTCAAGACCTCAGCAGCCTCAGCCGCATGTCGCAGTCCCGCAAGTCAGCGTCAGATCACAGGGTTCTCACACTTCCCCACGATCTGAGGCTGCAGACGCGGACGAGCGACCAAAGTCTACTCCGAAGCCAATCACTCCTCTGAAGCGAAAACGAAGCCTTATCCCCTTGGACAGCTCTCCTGTTTCGGAGCGAAGGCGGTCGACTCGATCTACATCTAGTCAAGTGGCTGCCTCGGGGGAATCAAAAACAATGAGCAGTGGGCCGCTATTTCCCAGTGTGAAGAGACGAGGACGCCCTCCTGGAGCTAAAACCCTACATAGCAGTATCGGAGCGATGAAGAGGGCCGCGGTGCAGGATTTCTCTCCAATCGAGGTCTCCATTTCTTCACCTGCTTCGCCAAGCCTTCCTGTTTTCAAATGCCGTTGGCGGCATTGTAAGTCACAGCTTCACAACCTCGAGACACTTCGAAAACATGTCGCAAAAGTCCATCGACCGACCCCCGATCAACTTCGAGAAGAAGGTGGCTATATCTGCTGGTGGAAGCGGTGCGAGTACCTCGTAGATGACGGAGACGGCTCTCTGCATCCGTCTGAGATATTTGACACTCGGAAAGACTGGCTTGCGCACATTGAGGAGCACATGAAGAAAGTCGCGTCTACGCTAGGTGATGGCCCAACAACTAAGACTATTGGTAAGCAAAACAGAACAGCATCAAAACCCTTTGATGTCTCGAGATTTCTCTTTAATCCTCCCACACAACCTTCTTCGACTTCCCTCGCTAGAACTCTTTCTCACACAGATCCTCAGACCCTCCTCCGTGACAAAGCCCGCTTCCTGTCAGACGAACAGGGACGAATAACCACACCTGACGTTTCAGTCAAGTCTGTGCAAGACCACCTGGAACCCGACACGATGACGCTGCTGAGGGCCGAACACAGTGATGCAGAGAAGCATGCACAAAGAAGTTTCATGAAGACACACCGCACCGAGAAGAGCAGTCCGAGGGCTGTCGCTGAGGAAACGTTGAAAGCCATGGCGGCAAGAAAGGCCAAGATTGGACCAGGGCTCGACCGCGGCGGGTGTATCCTGGTGAATGAGGCGAGGAGGTCCACCCTGATACAAAACCCAGGAATTCAGAGGGTGGTTGACGCGGATTATTGAGGACAACTCGCGCAAGAGATCAGAGAGCTATTCATACGCGTTTAATTGCCCTGGTCAACTCCTCGCAATCTGAGACCGTCTAGGAATTCGGTGATTATCTACAACAACTTCAGTGTTGAAGCAGCCTCTTTGACAAATCTACGTCGACAGATGGGCACTACCGAATGAGGTTCTCGGAAGAACAAGTTGGCGCGTCAATCTTTGAATTATCGCTGATCTGAGAATGGGCTTTCTGTGAGCTGTGAGCCACCTAGACGAGCTTGCCGATCAAATTTCAACTTCTTTAACCTGGATCGAATCGGGGTTGACGAGAGTTAGCGAGGTATATCATGACAGACATGGACGGCTGGTACATTGACATGCCGCAAAGCATCAGAGAGCAAAGGTGCCATAGAGCTTCATCAGAGTAAACTGGACTGCAAAACATTGCTCAAGCTTTCTTGTCTCTCTTCTCGACACCCTCTTGTGCCGTCTGAGCGTTTCCGAGCAGTAGCCTTATCCTATCCCAAATCTTATCTTTTGACTCGGGTAACTAGATTTCCAGTAGGCGAGGAGATAGAGCCAGCCAGAAGAGCCCCCAGCATATAGACAGACATGGACCCCCGGGGGGGAGGAGTCCTATTGTGAAGAGACAGCTAAGAGGAGGCAGAGGGCAAAGTGAACGCATCGTGAAGATAACCTGCTTACTTTACAGATCAAATTCGTACGTGCTAGCTACCTAGGTACCTAGGTATATTATATCTACCTAGCTGGTAACTACGTAGGACTCGGTCCATCCGTACTCACTCACTCACTACGAGGCAGTGTAGATAATCCCCAAATAGACATTTCTTTTATTCATGTATTTTCAATCCTGGGTGGATCTCCCAGCGCCGTTAACGATCTCTCAGATAACGTATTATGATACCATTGTGTGTGGTGTGGTTTACATGATTCGGGTAATTTGATCTGGTCCAGACCAAAGCTCGTGGACACCGTGCTTTGCTTGGGGATCTACGCAAGATCGGTTGAGGTCTTTGGCTGTGATTCTGTATTTCGTCCCACGGTGTTTCGCTTGCGCTTTGGCTTCGGTTCTGCTCTGCTCTGCTCGTACACTCGTGCTTTTGTGGTGGATCGATATTTGATGTGGCTTCAGCTGGGGGAGATGGTTGGCGAGGAGGTATCGGGTGAGATTGGTGCCAGTCGGCTATGCTCATGATCAAGGGCCTTGTGAGCCTTTCGTTCTCCATCTCTTTTCCGCACCTCCTTTACATGGGTCTCTTGTGTATAACCTCTCTTTTACCAGTTCACAGTGACCACACACCCATCCTCGAACGCCGCCCTCCGAATCCTTTCATTCCTCTCATTCCGTTCCAACCCAAAGCCAGCCCTTTTGAGGACGAAAACCCATACACCGTGCCTAGTTCCATCCCTCCGAGCATATCTCCCCGCCCCCTTTTTTTTTAAAGTTATAATCGTCACACTCTTTCCGTCTCACCGAGCCTCCTCGCCCACAGCAGCCGGCGGTTTGACAGCACCGACGCCGGCCTTCTCGTCCCTCAGCTCCCCATTCAACTTGTCGTCACCCTCCGCGTTGACCTCGAGGAAGTGGTACAGCACAATCATCAGCATGGCCGCGCTGCCGAGGAAAATGGCCAGGCTGTACAGCTGGGCGTCTGTGATCATTTTTGTTTTCTCTTCTCCCTTGTCCTAGTCTCCGATTAGGGTTTTCTGTTCTCTTGGCTTGGGTTATGTGATCTCTTTCGTTTCTCGAGGTGTGGTTTGTCGCACAGCTCAGCTGGACACGGGGTCTGGTGAAGGTGTAGTAGGTAAAGGTCAAGACTTGGAATGGTTGTCGTAGGGGTATCGCTCGTTTTATTCAGGTGTTATCTTGCGTTCGGAGGGCGTGGGGACAACAGGCGTATGAGTTGCAGTTGGCGATGCGATCGTGAGAGGTGTTCTGGGTCAGACTTTGTAGGAATGCACCGAGCTCACACGGAATGACTGCGAAAGGTGTGTCCTGGATCCTTTTCAAGGACGTGAATATGATCTCCGCCTTGTCGCTCAATTGTGTCTCACTGTACGTTGGAGCGGAGAAATTCTGTCCGAGACAGTAAGTGAGCAAAAGCATTGCGGGCAGGGCAGCGTGGCCATTGAACATTGAAGACAAGGGTCGCTTGCTGATTGGTCAGCCTCGTCTCTCAGGTCGCCGCAAACTTGCCAAGCCAAATCCTATGAGGGAGCGCGATGCCAGCCTTGTACGAGCATCGACGAGTGTAGTACCTGTCCAACCCTCACTTGCTATGAAAAGGAACTACGCCGCATCGCCTGTACTTGTGCTAAAAAGGTACTATCGGTATATTCATCTCTCTCGAGTCGGCCATTGCTTCTACGACCCCTGCGGCAGAAGAGATGTGCAAGTTTCCAAGGAGAATCTACGCCTTACACACCTAAAAGACACTAACATGACAGAGACTATTTGAGGTATCTCAGGGCTGCTCAGATCGTCCGAGGGCTGGAGTTCGCTTGTTGCCCGATTCAAACTGCACATGTTACGGAGCTAACCCTTTGGACATATTCAAGTGTCTTGCTGTGCGTATCAAGCAGGTGTAGAAAGGAATTGATAGTCGTCACAGACGGCTCTGGGCCCGAGAACAATTAGTACCAGTTATCGACGCGGCCAGCTTCTGGAGTTCTGGGACGTGATTGTTGTAGACGCCCCGAGGAGTCGTGTGGTATTTCCTGCACAGGTGCGCAGCCGCGGCCGTTGCAATGGCATGCTGCCCCCCGTTGCCCATGAACTTTGTGTTTGACGACGCAACATGCGTGGCGCTCATGTGTTTGCCTGCCATCATCAGATTCGAGACGTTGGCCGAATAGAGGCACCGGAATGGAATGTCGTAGGGCTTCCCGTCCCTCTCGTCCCATTCCCACCAGCGGAGCCGGAAGTCGTATTTTTCGTCGCCGGGGTAGTGCAGACAGAATGCCCCCTCGTTCTGCACCACGGCATCATGGAATCGCCGGTGGCCGCGAATGTCGTTCTCCGTGAGGACGTGGTCTCCCTTGTACCTCCGGAACTCGCCCTGCGCGGGTACATAGGCGACCCAGTCGAACTCGAGGTTGGCGTAGGTCTTGGGGTCCTTTGTCTTGACGTTGGAAAAGGTGCCGTAAATGGCACGCAGGAGGAAGTCGCGGATATGCTCGCCCTGGGTGTAGGAGTCGAGCCACTGGCCGTACTCCCAAAAGTGCGTCAACGGCTTCGTCATTCGCCTGGGGACTTTTGGCTGGGACGCAGAGTTGGGAGGCGCGATGGCAGGGCCAGGACCGTTTTCAATGCCAGGCCTCGTCAGCTGGCCGCCGAGATTGGAGAAGTCCTTGGCCACCTCTGTAGCCCAGGGGACGTGCGGGAAGGTTGAAGGTGCGTCTGCCATGCGTGTGCGGAAAAACACCGTGTTGCCGTGGTGCATGGCGTTGCCATCCACCGGGGCGAGCTTCTCGCCATACTCGGCCTGCGACTCCTGCCCGAAGAGCGTCTCTGCGCCGGAGAGCAGTCCAACGATGGCTTTGCCGGAGCAATCAATGAAGATCGGCGCCGTCAAGCGCACCTCGCGGCCACTGCGTCCGTGGCGGGCGTCCACGGAGACGATGGTCGATTCGCGTTTCACCACGTTGTAGACCGCGTGTTCCAGGAAGATTGTGGCATTCGTTTCCGCCTCGAGCAGATCTCTGGCGCAGATGTCGCCGTCGGGTTTGCGCTCTGAGATCTCGTCGATCAGCGGGCCCGTCACTCCACGTGGTCGAAGTCCGATTTCCACGCTGGCGTTGCCCCCAAGATAGGGCCGATCGTGGACCAGCGCGACACGGTCTCCTAAGCGGGCAACTGTCAGAGCGGCAGCCACTCCAGGCACACCACCCCCGACAACGACGACGTCGAAGGTGCCCCCATCGACCGGATCCTGTGGCAGTCCACGGAACCTACGTCTCCAAGCGCGAGTTGCGTCGTCAATAGCCCCCGGCGGCGGGATGTCGTCGCGACTGAAGAAGAGGGCATCACAACGTCCGCAGAATCCCGTCAAGTCGTGGAGCGCCAGCCCCGTCGCGCCCGCTGCAAGTTGCACCTTTCCCGCAAACTGCCAGGACCAGTCCAGATCGTTCGCCCCAAAGACCGTGTCCAAGGTGCTCCCGTTGACCGCGAGCGTGAACCTGCCTGGATGATGGCCGGGGACCCAGTCTTTGGCACGCACCCAGACGTTGTACTCGCCCGCGTGTGGGACGGAAATCGTCGTCGTCGCGTCCGCGACCGGTCGACCATTCCCGTGCGCCAACAGGTAAGGCGAGCCCATCTCCAGATCGAACTGTGCGTCGAGGACCCAGCCTCCGTAGTCGTCAAAGCCCTCGGCCTCGACCAAGATGCCTGATTCTGGCAATTTGTCCATCTTCACTTGGTCAATCGCTTGGGCCGGTCCTCCCAGTTCGAGATCGAAGGGCTAAGTATTGATGAGCTCGAGCGATGTTTATTAATCAGCTCTGCATTTCACCAGCTCTTCCTCGCCGCTGCACCCCCCTCCGGAGAAATGAGAAATAATCCCGAGTCCTTGTCCCTTATTAGTTCATTACACGCGATGAAATGGGACTTTGTGTCACGGTATGTGTCACCAAAGAAGAAAGACAGACGTCTCTTAGATGACCAGGTTTGGGTAACTTTGAACACCTCCACCCCCAACCTCAACATCTATGTCATCATCATCATCATCATTACCTAGGCACCAAAAGCGAGAAGTGATACCCTATTGATTTCACAGTGTTTATCCCTCTCTCCTACTCATGTCCCTTGAGCTTGATTGTGATGCCAAATCCGCGAACCTCGTGGCTGGATTGGCGAGCAGTTTCGTCCAGGCGGCGCATGTTGGTTGTAAGCTCCACATTCCGTCGTCTTGAATCGGCTCCGGCTTCGGCCTATTATTCGCTCGGCGGCTAATTACTAAAGCCACGCGACAACACAGCCCTAACGGCCCTGGCACATTTGATAGCTCGGATTTCCGCTTCCCCTAGCCCTCCAATTTCCTGGCAGAAGGTATGCCAGAATATCTTGTCTATGTAGATGCACTGCAGGCAGGGTGAAACTCAAACAATTGACCAAGGACACGTGATCGCCAAATGTGACTGACAGACAAGGGCACCAGGGTTACCAAGCACCCTAGGCAATGTAATGACGAATGGCGATCACGTTACGGCCTCAGCGACCCCTCGACAATACCTAGGTAGGCTACCGGACGGCGCCAGTAGCTCTCGAATAAATATTCGACAGTATATAGTCTAGTTTATCTCCAGGACCTAGTAGAATCTACCGATGTTCCTCCATTGAGTCACAGACTCCCCCTCCCCTTTCCACCCTCTGGATTAGAGTAGAGTAGAGTAGATCCGAGCTCGTCCGTGTTGCGCTGGGAGAGATATCTGGATCTTGATCGGGTAAAAGTCGTCCCATTCCATGGGTCGGTTCAGACACACCGGACGACCTCGTCTCCGGGGCTCCTTGGATAGGCTGGCTGCCTGGGCACTGGGCCACTCTAGTGCCTGATCTGCACCGCGATCCGGTTCGTCATGAACTTGGAGATGTCGCCGATCAAGAGACACCCGATGATGGACAGCACTCCGAACGGGATGCTGACATACCACACGTAGGACAAGGCGTCCGAGTACGCCCAGCGGCTGCCAATGGTCGCGGCCTGGACAATCGCCGGCGTGACGCCCGCGACGGCGGTGGCGTTTGCAGGGACGGTGAGAAACGTCTGGACGAACGTCGCGGCCGAGGACTCGGGGAGACCGGCGTCGAGGGCAAAGGCCAGGACGCGCTCGGGGAGCTTCTTGGCCAGCTTCTCGCTGAAGACGTTGTAGTAGATGGAATAGCCGATGGAGCCGCCGACGAAGCGGATGGTGAGGGTCAGCGCAGTCGCCGTGGCGATCAGCGAGTCGGGGCACGCGGTCATGGCAATCGTCGCAGAGGGGACAATGACGCCGCCGATTCCGAACCCCGCGATTGTGGCCAGACCCACGGCAAGTCCGGCGTTGTTTGGAGTCACCGCAGCCATGCTGCCAGTGAAAGCAGCTGAGAGAGAAAGTGTGTTAGTGTCGCGTGTCGCGGACGTGCAGTTATCACACGGGTTCCACTTACTCATGAGGACGCAGGAGGTCAGAAGGAGCTCACGATTGTTCCCTTTCAGGATGGTGAGCAGGGCGTTCATCACTGACGCACCGACGGTGATGGCAATCGAGTAGCCGAGACCCTTGACGCCAACTTGAATCGGACTTGCGAAGAGTCAGTACAGTCTCGAGAGGTAAACTGCAGAGGGTCCCACATACTCAGGGTCATAGACGGTGCCGTACGTCAGAGGAGCAAAGTTGATCATCGAGTAGAAATTCATGCCCGACACAAAGGCCACTGCGAGCGCGATGGCCACGACTCGCTGGCCGGCAAAGAGATCCCTCGGGACCATGGGATACGTGGCACCTTTCCACTCCCACATGACGAAGCCGAAGATGAGCGCCGCGCCAATGAACAGCATGCACAGGACGTATGCACTCTTCCACGGGTGACTTGAGCCGCCTGACTGCAGCGCAACGAGACTTCACACAGTTAGCTAGGTCTCACCGAGCCATCACCTGCGAACAACTTACAATAGGATCAC